TTTGATTGAAATTTATTTTATATTCGCTAAATGTTTAATACGTTAATATGAACTAATAAAATTAAGCAGTTCAATCTCAGACATTGGTTGATTAGCTATGATTGTTTTTTAATCACATGTTTTGTATTAAAATAATATATTTCGACACACATGATAGTTAAAAATAACACAATGTTATTTAACTCAGACTAGAATAGGATTAAATTTGCTCTTTTAATACTTAACAATATAGTCAATATTCCAATGGAAAATGCCGTTTCTTTAACAAATTGTCGATGAAAGGCGAGTACAGGCCTCAAAATTAAAAATTCGCATTAACAACTCGACATGTTTCCTGCTCGTTATTATTTCTCTTCTTCTCGAAAACATTGTTTAGAATTAGCACGTGTCTCCTGAAAGAGGAGATTTTTAACGTTGGCACGGCGAGACCGGAAACATTAACGATACTCATGGACTTCGGCTTTGTTCTCGTACGCTAATGTGAGCGCGGTAATTCCCAAAGCGTAACACACGGCCCCGGCAACACCGGACTGGAGGAGCCAACCTTGAGGAGGAGAGGCGTGTTATGCAACACGTTGAGGCGTATACGCGAAACATATGTAGCGACAGCGTCGCATCGTCGCGTCTAAATCGGCGTAGTCCGCTATTATTCTGTCTCCTAGATTGAAATTAAAAATTCATTTAAATACTAGCAATAAAACGCGAAGTTATCACTATATAAGAATATCACTCTGCTTGCCCGTACATTTTACAGTCTGCTCGATAATATGAAATCTCCATAGAATTAAGCTCTAATCGAGAATATTACGCAATTTTTTATATTTAATCTCTTCTGGATTTTACATAAATTAAATTTAATTCTATGGACTGATTTTATATTATATATGTACAAACATGTGTACGATATGTTAATTTGTATTTTTACTTTCACTCAGCTGTTATTGCATATACATTTGATTTTATCGCTTGCCCGCCGCTCTTGTTCATTTTTCATGCGAATGATACGAGTATACATATATTGCACCGTGAAATAATGCATTCATTGCACCGCGTTTGCTTGGCGACGTTCGACTTGCTTGGCGCTGACTCGCGTCCCTGTTACGCAACGCGATTCGGCGAAGAAAGCACGTTATTTTCGAGTAGTAATCAGGCCAGCAGCGTAGCGGGTAGGTGGAAAGCTTCTCATGATTTAAGGTCAATGCACAGAGCGGATGAGAGAGAGACCCGTTTTTCTTCTTCTTTCTCTTTTTCACTCTCTCCCTTTTTTTCCCTCCTCTTCTCTTTTTCCGTGGGTCGCGCGCGGTGCAAGGATAGCGCGCCGTCGCGTCGCGACATATGTCGGTGCATTGTTGCGGCAACAATGAACGATGGCCACTCCTCTCCACCTCGTGGTTGTTGTACCGTTGCTGCCGCTTACCTACATGTATAAGTGTATTATAAACGAACAGCCACCTACAACAACGGCGGCAGTGTGCCGCGGCACGCTCATAAATTATATACGTTTCGCAATTCTGTCGCGCCGCGAAGGCTCGACAGAGCACCGCGCGCTGTCGTGTTTAAGGATGCAGTATTGAAGCATTCCCAAACGCGATTAGGCTGCCGAATGAAATGTCCACCTGCCGAGCGATGAAAGCATTCTGAACACACATTGTATCTAAACGCAAAGATATACGTACCGCTCGATCGCGGATTCGAATTAAAAATTAGGACTTGTGATTTGCTTCGAAGGCCTCGACATTCAAACTTCGAAGCTTCGACATTAAAATCTTTGAATTCTTTCGAAGCTTCGAAGTTTAAGGTGCCTTCGAAGTTTTGAAAAATACATTTGTACAAATGATAAATTTATTCAGAAAATTTACAAATATTGTAAATAAAAAGAATTAGTATATCTACGGAATTATTCCTAAAAAATTTGAAAGTATTATAACCTGAAATATTACAAGTTAAACTTAATACATGTGTAAATAAGAAAAGATAATAATTAATAAAACATTACAATTAAGAAAATTCAAATTTTAATGTATTTTTCAAAACTTTGAAGCTTCGAATATTTGAAGTCAGTAAAAAATAACGGCCTTATTAAAAATATTATGATACAAATCTGTACATTAAATGACGTTAATTCTTCTAGTTATTTCTACGATATAATAAATTTCTTGCGCATGGTAATTGTGATATCATATAATGTATTGTATATATACGGGATGTCCCCGTATAAGTGGCCATCTCTTTTTATCTCGTAAACTAATAGAGATAAACCTAATAAATATAATATCAAATTAAACGGCTCTGACTAAACTTTATTGTAAGCACAGTGTTTAAGAGTTAGTTAAGCAGTTCTGTTATCGACGGAGAGAGAGCGTCCTCAGCATCAGCGCTTGAGTAGTAGAGATTTTTCGCTCATTGTAAAAACACGTTTTCTTTTGTTAAATTTTTTTTATCGTCTCGCTTGTGCGAAGTGCCTCTTGCTCATTAAACATAGTAAAACAATATTCAGTGTCATTCATTAACATTTTGGCGCTCAACGTGGGGCTGATGCATTAGGCGAGTGAAGGGGATAAGAAAAGAAGTCTCGCAAGCAAAAGTACGTAACTTCAACAGAGGGATCAGCAAGTACGTAACTTCAACAGAGGGATTCGCAAGTCAATCTCGACAAAGAATCAGCAAATCTCATCGAAGAAAAAGGTCAGCAAATTGTTAGATCATAAAGTACAATATGGATAAAGATATGCGTAAATTAAAGCAGCGCAGAACGCAAATCAAAGGACAAGTCATACGTATATTGCATTTTCTCGAGGCAGGAAATGTTACGATTGCCGAGGCGCAAATCAGATTGCAGAAACTAGAAGACTTTTTTCGAAATTTCGAAGAGTTACAATGCACTATTGAAGAAAAGACTAGTGGCTCACAGGAAAGAGAGCCGAGCGAAATATGCGATCCGGAAAGAGAGATCTTCGAGCAGATCTATTACAGGGCGGCCGCAATGGCGCAGGAAATTGTTTGACAGGAACAAGCACAAAACGAGGCAAGAACACAAACAGTTGCAGAAATTTGCAGGGAAAATCGGGAAAGAACACCCGAGATTACACGCAGACGACCAAAGCTACCAGAGATTAAGCTTCCAGAATTCAGCGGGGATTATATGAAGTGGTTATTTTTTAAAGACAGTTTCGAGACGACTATACACATGGACAACAGCCTAACCGCTGTTCAGAAGCATCAGTACCTCGTCAAAGTACTTCAAGGGGAAGCACGCAGTGTGATTCAAGGATTTAAGATTTCCAGCGAGAACTACGAGAGCGCTTGGAAACTGCTAAAAGATACGTATGACAATAACATGATAATCATTCAAAATCATTTAGACGAGTTACTAAACTTTCCAGATATAACAAAAGAAAACAAAGCGGATTCGATACAAAAGTTTATTTGGCACATACAGACGCACGTATCTGCATTGAAGACATTAGCATTACCCGTCGACGAATGGGACGCCATATTAATTCATCTATCAAGAAAAAAGTTAGATTACACAGAACAAAATGATTGGCAAAATTTGATTAAAGATCGCACTCAGGATGATATGCCAAAATTATCAGAATATTTAGCATTCTTGACCAAGCGATGTCACACAATTAAGGTGCTCGAGCAGAGTAGACAGAAACCCACCGAGAAATCAGCAATTCGAGAACCGAAAAGGAACGAGCGAAAGGTGGCTCTAGTAACACACAAGTGTAAAGTTTGTGAGAGTGATCATCCAGTTTACAAATGCAGTGATCTGTTGAAATTATCGGTGGCAGATCGTAAGCAAAAGCTCATAGAAAAGAGATTATGTACCAATTATCTCAATTTTGGTCATATGTTCGCGATTGTAAAGCGTCGACATGCAAAAAGTGCAACAAAAAGCATAACTCGCTTATCCATCAAGATGCTACAGAGGAGTCGGCAGATCCCTCAGCCAAACAGTCTTGTGATTCTACGACACCGGTCGTCACGCATTGTACTGAATCTACGATTGGGATACCGAGGTCACAATCCTCAGAAGCGAACAAAATCGAGACAAGCGTTTATTGCACCCACCAAGGGGGGACTAAAGTGATTCTTTCAACAGCGAGAATTTGTGTGTTAAACGCAAACAACGAGAAGCGGTACTGTCGAGCGTTGCTTAATCCAGGTTCGCAAACAAATTTAGTTACATCTAAATTTATTTGAAAGCTAAAGCTGTTATGTCCCAATGAAGCGCATCCGATTAACGTAATTAACAAGATGGTTACCAGAATCAATAAAATAACTAACATACACATTAAGTCAATGCATAGTGACTTTACAACAACAGTGAGTTGTCTCGTTGTGCCGACGGAACAGTTGCCACAGGTAAAAATCAATACCACGAAGATATCTATCCCGAAAGATGTCAAGTTAGTAGATCCAATGTATTATGAACCAGGATCCATTGATATACTTCTGGGCGCAGGAGTGTATTGGAAGATAGTTACCGGAGCACCGGAAAATCAAGTGAAAGGCAGACCAGCATGGCAGAACACGTATTTAGATACGATCATTGGAGGAGAACTAGAAAAAGAGCACACGGCCGCGTCAGGTCTTTGCGGTATGATTACAAATAATTTACTACATAATCAGTTACAACGATTTTGGATTCAAGAAGAAGCTCCGGATATTCTTCCATATACAAAAGAGGAAACATACTGTGAAACATTCTTTTCTGATACAGTCATACGCCAGAACGACGGCAGATTCGTTGTACGGCTGCCAACTCGCTCACACGTGAACTTGGAAGACTCCATAACACAAGCCACCAAGAGACTCAACTTTCTAGAACATCGGTTTGCTAGTGATCCGGCCTTGAAAGAAGCTTACGTCTAATTTCTAAGGGATTTCTAAGGGAATATTTACAAGAGATCATATGTCTTTAGTCGAGAATCAGAGTGCTATATTAGCGCAGGAGCATTACATTATACCACATCAACCGGTGTTGCGTCCAGATGACGACTAAACTACGAGTCGTGTTTGATGCATCTTCAAAGACGACAAATGGAATAGCATTAAATGACAAATTGATGCCCGGACCGAATTTACAAGCAGATTTACAGAGAATACTAATCCGATTCCGAACACATGAGTTTGTCATCACAGCAGATGTGGCGTTCATGTTTAGACAGGTTTTAATAAATCCCCGAGATCGAAACTTACAGTTGATTCTATGGCGCAATGAAGTAACACAACCTCGTCAATTATACCAGCTTGATACTATAACGTATGGAACGGCGTGCGCACCGTTTTTGGCGATGCGATGTCTCAAGGAATTAGCTAAGATTTATCAACAAGAATTTCCATTAGTGGCAAGAGCGGTGGAACAGGACTTCTACATGGATGATGTTTTGACCGGCGGGTCCACACTTGAGGACGTTATGACATTACAAAAGCAGCTGACGGAGATGTTGGCTCGTGGAAAATTCCCTCTACGGAAATGGCGAGCAAACCATCCAAGTATATTGAAGCATCTGTCAGAACATAGTACGACAAGCGACTTGCTTGTGATAGATAAGGATCAGCCAATCAAAACGTTGGGACTTCTGTGGAATGCGACCACGAATGTTCTTCAATATCGTATTACGTTGGACGAAAACAAGTCAAACACTAAAAGGAGTATGTTATCAAAGATAGCACAAGTATTCGACCTCTAGGTTTGGTAGCCAGTACTCATTGTTGGAAAAATTATAATGCAAAAGATATAGAGACAAGCAATAGAATGGGATCAAGAGCTCCCAATCAATTTAAGGATATCGTGGGGAAAGTATTATACTTTGCTTACGAGGCTAAATGACGTGCGAGTCAAAAGAAATATCAACATCAAAAATAGTTCATCAACTTTCGATTTATATGGATTTGGCTACGCGTCGGAAGCGGCTTATGGAGCTTGTCTATATGCAGTTAGTACGGATCAGCATGGAATACGTCAGTCGGAATTAATCTGTGCAAGGACAAAGGTAGCACCATTGAAGACGATATCGCTGCCAAGGCTTGAGCTAGAAGCTGCTCTCATGTTAGCAAGATTATTCGACACAGTTAAGAAATCGTGTCGTAACAAAATCAACAAGGTTAAACTGTGGAGCGACAGCACAGTGACGCTAGGGTGAATAAAAACACCACACTCTCTCAAGACGTTTGTAGCAAATCGAGTGACAAAAATACAAGGCCTCACAGAAGAAGCTGTTTGGTCACACGTGCCGTCGAAAGACAATCTGATCTCCTGTCAAGAGGAGTTTTGGTAAATCACTTGGTTGAGAGTCAATTATGGTGGCACGGCCCACATTGACTGAGAGAAGAAAAGCGACAATCTTCTACAATGAAGGAACCGGAGGTTAACTTGCCGGAACTGAGAGCAATGCCTGTCACGTTGATGTCGACTCAGGCGCATCAACTCTTAACAAAATATTCGTCATATCATAAACTATGTAGAATCGTAGCTTTTTGTTATAAATTCGCAGAAAACTCTAGATCCGGCAAAAGAACAACACCAATTACAGCAGCAGAATTAGACAAAGCCGAAAAGATCGTAATTTGTTGGGTTCAACAAGAAGCGAAGGAGCTTTGCAGCCTACAAGAAGGGAGAACGCTCCCGCGAAAGAACGCATTACGAGCATTAGCAGCCTACCTTAGCGAAGATGGTTTGATTCGTGTGGGAGGCAGACTATAGCACGCGGAACTCAACTCGGAGCGGAAGAATCCCATGGTTACCTGCAAAGCATTACGTAACAGATCTTATTCTACGGGACAGACATGAGCGATTGCTACACTGTCCACCGGAGCAATTGCTGCATGATGTTCGAGAGCGATTTTGGCCGATCGGTGGAAGGCGAGAAACGCGTAAAGTTGTCAAGAAATGCATCAAGTGCTATTGTTTTAATCCAATTCCGGCGGAGGTCAAAATGGGTGATCTTCCCGCGGAAAGAGTTCGCAGTTTTAATCGTCCATTTACCACAACAGGTTTAGATTACGCCGGCCCAATCCAAGTTCGGGAAATCCGACGACAAGGAAGGATCCACATAAGCAAAGGATACATCGCAATATTTGTATGCACTAGCACGAAAGCAGTGCATTTAGAGATCGTAACCGATCTTACAACGGACTCATTCCTAGCAGCTTTGCGCCGATTTGTCGCTTGTAGAGGATTATGCGCTCAAATATTTTTTGACAACGGAACGAATTTCGTTGGCGCTGTTAGACATCTCAAGGAGTTGTACGAGTTTATGAACGAGGAACAAGAAGTAATTAAATCCGAATTGGCGGATCAACGTATAGAATGGCAATTCATTCCGCCCCGCGCGCCCAATTTCGGCGGGCTATGGGAGGCGGCGGTGAAGAGCGCAAAAAGATATTTGTTCACCGTAACAAAAGGACGTATCCATACATACGAAGAGTACAGCACTATTCTTGCCCAAATAGAAGCTGTGCTCAATTCAAGACCGTTGACTCCACTTTCCAGTGACCCGCTGGATTTGTCAGTTCTGACACCTGCGCATTTTCTAGTTGGTGGCTCGCTCTTGCAGCCCGCTCAAGTCAATCACCTCAATACACCGGATAATTCATTAGCCAAATGGCAAAAAATGCAAAAATGAGCCAGCTGTTTTGGAAGCGTTGGCAAGCAGAATACTTGCAAGAACTGCAAAAACGAACAAAGTGAACTGCCTCCAGATACTAAGCACTAAGATGAAGAAAGATGATTTCGTTGTTGTAAAGGAGGATCATGTTCCCCTTTTCCAATGGAAACTAGGCCAAGTGATGGAAATACATCCAGGCCAGGATGGCGAAGTAAGAGTTGTCACGTTGCGGACTTCAAGCAGAGTATTCAAGAGACCCGTCAGAAGGCTGTGTGTACTTCCGATGGAAGAGACTCCAGATGGTCAAGATTAAAAAATTTTTGTTTCTTTCTTTGATATTGTAATGTTCAATCATTTGCGTTAAGTATATATTTCATTTATCTGCTCTAATTTAGCTGCAGTTCAATCGCATACAAGTTCGCAATACAAGTTAGTTTAGTTGTAAGCCAATCGACTTGAAATTGTAATCTTAAATCTTATTTAAGTATCTGTATTATTTAATCGCGACAAGTAGTCTTAGACCATCCTTGTGCAATCATTAACCAGTTATATTGAAAGATATTCTTTCAAGATGGCCGGAATGTTTAAGAGTTAGTTAAGCAGTTTTGTTACCGACGGAGAGAGAGTGCCCTCAGCGTCAGCAGCGCTTGAGTAATAGAGATTTTTCGCTCATTGTAAAAACACGTTTACTTTCGTTAAATTTTTTTTATCGTCTCGCTTGTACGAAGTGCCTCTTGCTCATTAAACATAGTAAAATAATATTCAGTGTCATTCATTAACACACAGTAATTACTTAGAAATATTATCTATATTAGAGAGCAGAAAGACATGATTAATTTTTGCACGGTAAAGTGATAATTTTAATATGATACAAGTTGTAGCGTTCTTTTTAACGAATACAACGATGTGTGATTATATAACGACATTATCTTACAAATTATACAAATTATTTTGGTTTAAAGTTTTGCTAGCGACTGTTACCTTTTCAGTTTTGGCCCTTTGGTGTGGCCAACTTTCGACTTTCGCGTTGACAATTGACGTGTAATGTTTTTATTTGATCATAGTACTCACGTCAGTGAGTAATTATAATCATAATATAACATTATATAAAAAGTAAGAAATGAAATGTAATAGAAAATTATTTGAAAATATTTCAGTAAATTAAATAATTAAGATTTAAAAATACCAATAGAGAATTACACGATAACGATTTGGGCAACAATATCTAGAATGTAAAGCATTTTTTTAGTAATTGTAGATGGGCTTGCATAGTTTGTGGCGTGAGAAAAAGTGCATGATGATTAAAATCGTTGCATTCGCAACGAGAGGTCCGCAATTGCGGGCGCAACATGTTTGCCTTGCAATTGGAACGCGTTCCACGAAGGCGAAATTGATGTCTGTCCTCGATTTGGCCGCATATAAACTTGTTGAAATTGCTTGCAGCGTCGTCATAATTCATAACCGCCCGCTACCGCGTTAACAATCATTCCGTTGTTGCCGCATTATGCAATCAATCATCTAATGGAAAACTTTATTAACTTGCAAGCCACCGACGACGCCGGCAGCGATTCGCAGCATTGCTCGACATACATATTTTCCCGCGGCCAGTCTTATCGCGTCCCAGCCGTAAAAATCTGTTTTATGAAGGAATTATTATATTATAAGCAGAATATGTTAAAATAATACATTGATCATAATCAAATATAATCTTCTTAGTTATATTAAGTATATGATATAATTTAACACTAATATTATCTTTTCCAATATTTTTAAATTTTTTAAAAATATTTATCATTATATGAGGTAATTTTTTTGTTAAATATTTATTCCGAAATTTCTTGTGAAGTTTAAGGAAAATTTTTTGCAATGATCTTTGAATATATTAAGACTGCTATGAACTCTTCCGAATCATTTACTTCGTTTCTATCAACATCTCGCTCTACTATTTTTTAGACATCGTAAAAGCGTCCGCGTAAATCAACGCGACTTGTTCAAGATTAGCTAAGCGCATTCCCTTTTATTAACGAGAAATGTAGAGTTCTCATCTCTCTCCGTGTCGCAATGATCACTAAAATGCTGATCAGTCAGTGGTGATTAACGATTCGAATAAATTACATGTATATATAATTTTATGGCGATTTAATATTTTTAACTCTGTTATTTAATTAATATAACTCTGAAATTGATTTTAATCAATTCGGAAGCGATCGCCGCCTCTCGGAAGGCAATGGCAAACCACTGAGAGTATCTTTGCCAAGAGAACCTCTTCTTAAAATGGCTGTTCGGAACCGGCGTTAAAATTGTAGGTCTCGTATCTGCGTAAAAAAGTAAATAGCGCACATCACAGAAATACGAGAAGAGCTCACTATACGCTCTGATAAGAGTAGTAGGACTATTGATTGATTGATATAAAATTATAAAGTAAACAAATCGCTGTTGTTACGTGTGGAAAAATATAAAATGTTTTATAGATTTAAATTCTTCACAAGTCAATTTTTCAAATCTAATAAAATCTTAAATTTGTTTTATTGAAAATTCCATTGAATTTATAAGTATCAATCTAAAATTAAATTAAACATTTATTTTCGAAGCTCACGTTCATTGCTTTTTTTTCTTAAGGCCTTGTCACACGATGAGGCATGATTTGCCTCAGATTTGCATGATATATTAATTTTTTATTGACACATTATATTTTTTTTACTGGTATTTCCTTCTATTTTTGTGGATGTATTCTTCCGTGGTACAAAATATAAGCATATTAAAATACCAAAGATTTTATACATAAATCTATAATAAAAGAATGAAATAAGATTAAAATGACAGTGAAAGTAAGTAAAGAAAGTACATTAGTAACTAATGTCATCATTTGCATTATTTTAAATTAATGATAATTATCTTTAATTATTTAACAGAATAAGCGGTGCATTAATTATTTTAATGTCAAAGTAGTTATGTCATTATATTTAGATATTTTATACATAACTGCTTTTAATGTGCACTAATCCGATATGATACAAATTCGCTTGAAGTAAAACATAAATGTGACATATTAATGTCACATTTTCTATGCCATTCAATCCAAAAATGAATTGAAAAATGTGACATTATTATTCCGTTTTCTACATTATCTACATTTATAGCTTACAAGAAAACCTCGCGATGGAAAAAAAAAGTTTAAATTTTTGTGAAGCCGCGGAGAAATTCCGAACTGTCAATTTTCCATCACGCCAGCGTTTCCTTAAAAATTGTGCGAATCGAAATAATAAAGATTAATTTATTATTAAATTTTTTTACGAAAGAATTTAATATAGGCGTACTTTCTGAAGTGTCCCTTATAATGGGTTATTATTTGTAAAATTATCTTTTTCTATCAGTAGCGATTCTAAATGTATTTTTTAATTCTAATTACATCTCGTGCAAATAATTTTCTTTTTTATTATTTGAAATTGTTTGTATAGATTTTTTAAGACTGTTTTTTGAACAAAATTTGTTTCGCATGAGAACACTATTTTTTAAATTATCTGAAATGCAAATCGTAATATAGTTGTATAATAAGTATACATCAGTTTCCCAGTTTATCTTTTCATTACAATTATGGTAAGCGGCCGTAACGGTCTCATTGGTCGAGTTAAGTGAAATCAAAATGCTAAAGAATTTCTTTAAATATTCCTTTTGAGTTTTACTTATAATGCCGATGATTCATTAATGCTGTGATTTTTTAAATGTTTTTGGTTTTTTTTTGTTAAAATATGTTTTACACTCATTTCACTATATTTATCACTTTTTACTTTTTTATAGCACTTATAAATCCACGATCTCGCGGTTGAAACATATTTGGATTAATTTAATTCGCACAAACTATTATTATAATCGCGGTATGATGTAGTTTTGTTGATGACAGTGCGCGGATCGCATGAAGACTTCTAGATATATGCTTATAAATCTTTGTTATAAGATTTGCATTCTATACCAAAAGGAAACGTTTCGCTACATATTGCGATACACATTGATTACTTAGATTCCTTAGACAAGCAATGTTTAAATATGTATGAAAAGATACGTTTTCGCGAAGCGCGCGTTTATAGTGCTAGTATTAATAAAAAAACTTAGAAAATAACAACCAAAAAGAAGTGTTTCATGACTTTACCGAATTGTGAATGATAATAGAACTTCTGCATATATTGGCTCTCTTAAATGTGTTATTTGTCGCATGAGCTGTAATCCAACCAAAGAAAGAATCTCTTCAAAAGTTTCTGGTGTCATTCTCATAAAATTAAAGTAAGTTTTAGTATCATACAAACGGAGCTCCTGTATCAAATGTTCCCAATTCTCATGACGTTTCGTTTGAAGTATGGGACGCACCCAGAATCGGCGAGACCTTTCATGTTCTTCATTGACACATTTGATTTGTCTATGAAATAGTATCACAGTAATAATTTTCCTTCGCAAACGCTGTCGATATAGGCCTCCATAATTCTACAAACGAGAATCAAAGAAATAACATATACACAAATTATTTATTTGGAAATATTCTTAACCATATGCAAAATTTGCAGTTATAGCAACGATGTGTATAATTTTGGAAGCCACATTATATCCACTTAGTAAAGATAAAGCCATATTTACTATTATTATTACAATTAACTGAAAAATGATATATTTAATTAAAAATTACTAATATGTATATGCAACATCCTGATGTATACGTGCTAAATAAATTATAATTGTACTTATAAACTCTATATACTTTAAATTTTACTTATACTTTATTTAATTATATTACTTACTTTAAAATTGGCGAACTGTCACACAGAATGTGCTCACATAGAACAATGTGTTCACATAGAATGCCCGGATTCGAATAAAGACGTTTACATCAAGTTTCTTATTTGTGTACAGTTTCGTATTTTAAGTCACAAGAAATTGTAATAAGCTACCTTAAAGTTTTATTACAGAAACAAATAGAAAATCATGAAAATTAGCTTTATTGCGCTCTCTCTCTCTCTCTCTCTCTCTCTCTCAAACGCTTTAGGGGAATTTTATTCTCAGGGCACTAAATGACGATTTCTCTCTTTCTCTCTCTCTCTCTGTCATATTGAAGGTGCCTATATAGAATAAATAGGCGCTCCCACGGGGGGAGAGAGAGACTCCGTTTCTTTTTTTTTCTATCTTTTATTACGATAAATATCATAAAATTCTTAACTTATTAAAAAACGAGATGAAAATCTGGGCAAAAGTAGTAACAGATCAAGCGACGCGGTAGCTTATTAAAATAATTATGGTGAATACTTACTCATTGGTAGGTTTATGTTCTTCGGTCCTTCGTATTGTATTCAGTAATAAATCATTCATTTTTGTAGTGTTGAAATGCTTTTTCAAATGGTCATTGGTTCAATGGTTTATTTATGGTTTTCTATACATCATTTACTAATGTAAACGATGTGTAGAATTATTGTTTATCTCTACTTATACATACTTTTTAATATATTTTTCGGCTTCTGGACTCAAATGCTTAATTTCTTCAAAAAATGGCGAACATATCTTTTTGTGGTTTATTTATATGTTTTTCTTTGTTATATTGATCTTCTATAATTTTTCTGTAATTCAAATTTTTTATATTTTGTAAGGCACACATATTTTAATTAGAGCATCTAGCTGTCATTCTTTTTACAACAGCTTAATTTTATGTCTTTAATTTACACACAGTCTCTTAATTTATATAAAATTCTTAACTTATTAAAATACGAGATGAAAATCTCGGCAAAAGTAGTAACAGATCAAACGACGTGGTAGTTTATTAAAATAATTATGGTGAATACTTACTTATTTATGTTCCTCGGTCCTTCGTATTGTATTTACAAGGGAACCTCGCGAAGTGTCAAATTCTGATTTTAATGAAACTTGGTATACTTTGAGGTCACATAAATAGATGAATTTAGAAATTATCAATTGGTGCTAAAAAACGGTTTAAAGGAATGAATCCACCCCT